AGTCTCATCTGAAGGCTCACTTGTGGAAAGATCTGCTTCCAAGCTCATGTGGTCGTTGGCTGAATTTCCATTCCTCCAAGGGAGTTGGACTAAGGGCATCAGTTCCTGTCTGGCAGTTGGCTGGAGTCTTTCCTCAATTCCTTGTAAGGTGGATCTCCCTAATATGGCAGCTTGCTTCATCAAAACCAACAAGGTAATTTATTGAGAGAGCCTGGTAGGAGATAGATGTCATAATCCTATGTGACTTAATTACACAAATGACGTCCCATCACCTTTGCAAGTTGCAGGTCTAGCCCACACTCAAGAGGAAGGGATTCCATAAGGGCGTGAACACTAGGAGTGGAGGTCACCGGGAGCCACATCCGAAGCTGCCTACTACAGACAGCTATTATTGTAGGAAGAAAGAGTAACATAATGGTTAAGAGGGAGGGTTTCCATGTCACTTAGAAATGACGTCAAATTGCCAGGTGCGGTGGCTCACGCCTGTAATCCCAACACTTTGGGAGGCCGAGGCAGGTGGATCACGAGGTCAAGAGTTCAAGACCAGCCTGGCCAAGATGGTGAAACCCCGTCTCTACTAAAAATACAAAAATTAGCCAGGCGTGGTGGCGGGTGCCTGTAATCCCAGCTACTTGGGAGGCTGAGGCAGAGAATTGCTTGAACCCAGGAGGTGGAGGTTGCAGTGAACCAAGATCATGCCACTGCACTCCAGCCTGGGCGACAGAGCAAGACTCCATCTGAAAAAAACAAAACAAAAACACAAAAAACAAAACAAACAACAACAACAAAAAACATCAAATCTCAGACCTGTCATGTACTGTGTTACCCAAGTCAGCAAGTCAGGTTACCTGGCCTCTCTGAGTTCCTGTTTCCCCACCTGTTCAGCCCCTTCCCTGTAGGATTGTTGCAGTTTCAAAGTGGAGAGCAGGCCTAGCAGAATGGTAAGCAGTCATTGGTAAGGTCAGTTACGAGCTTTTCTTCTCCTTGCCTTCCTTTTTTGCCTTTTCTTAAAATATCGTCAGACATTTTGGATTGTAGAAGAATAGCATAGAACTCCCCAGTACCCCCAGACTTGGTTATTCATGTGAAATCCCAGAGCCGCAGGTAGTTTCCTGCCAGACTGGCTGTGCAATCCTCCCCTGTTTGCCCAGGGGCTCAAGGATGAGGAATGCAGGTCTTTGGCCTCAGGAGGACCATAGCTTCCTGCCATGGTGACTACCTCAGAATGGAGCTGCCAGGATGCCCTGCAGTACCCCTCCCAGGTCTCTGTGCCTCCCCCTACTCTGGAGCAGCCACTTGCCCTGCAGAGGGCCTGTCCATGGTGACCAAGAGTGTAGCCAGGTGAGCCATTGTGTTCTGCCAGCATCCTTGCATTTCTACTTGGGCGTTCTGATGGCAGCCCACCATGACTTCAGTCCATCCACAGAGCTGAACAGGCAGATTTGGAGATGGAGCCCCTCTTGTCTGCTCACTTTGACCCGGATCATGCCTAGCAGACAGCTGGCTGGTTTGCCTGTGCCTGGTCAGGAAGCTGTGCCATCTTCTCGGCTCCCTGTGCCTTCTCCTCCGTTTTTCCACTTTGCTTTCCTCACTTCCTCCCTCGTGTAGGCCTCAGGGACAGAGAGTGCTTGTGGAAGGCCACTGTTGGGCCACAACAGGCCACACTCATCTCCACCCTCCTTCCTGACCAGAACAGCTCTGCCTGTTCCCTTACCCCCATCCTTTGCATCTAGAGACCCTGTTCTTGGTCCCCCTGTTGCCCCACCTCCAGCCCCCTCCACAGCTGTGGGAGAACTTTCTGGAGTCTTCCTCTGTCATTCAGGCACCAGTGTCATTCTGGAGTAGAGATGCTGGCTCTAGGGGCCACTTCTTTATTTTTTCTTTTTTAGATCATCTGATTATATCTAATGTGAATGTCTCCCTAGCTTCCTTGAAAATAAAAATCACCTAGAGTTCTTAGAAGTGGAGCCCCCTGGGTCCTTCCTTGGAGAGCCAGGTTCAAGAGGGCTAGGATGGGGCCTGGGAACAAGTATTTTTAGTAAGTGTACCAGCTAATTCCTGTCGTGGAGATTTAGGAAACACGTGTCTAAGCATGCCAAAACCTCTTTTCTGGTGTAGGGAATAGGAGGGAAGATCTGAAAATCTGGGTCCCTTCCCAGGAAGGCTCTTCTCTAACCCATGGGCCCCCAGCCCAGCCCATTTAGTGCTCTGACAATGAGGCAGATATTGTAGCATAATTTGATTCTTCAAAAAATGTTCTGTAGTTACTGCCCTTTAAATCGCTCCTTCCTTTCACATATGCAAGAGAATACTGTGTGAGGAAGTGTTTTCCTTTATGGTGCTGTACTTAGATGACTAGCAAAATATGGTGCTGGGCTGAGAGTGGCACAGCTGGGTGATCCAGGTGGCAGACTGGATCATATCATGTGGACGGAATATGAGGGCTTGCATTGATATGCACACACTCCCCATCGGCTGGCCTCTCTTGACAACAGATCCAGGAAATTACAGTGAGAATCTTCCTTTTGTTTCTAACAGCTGTCACCCAGCTGCTGGAAGGGTGTTGGTTTAGCATTAAGTGTGTGGGTGAACTTGGTCTCTGTTGAGGGAATAAAAATGCCCTAGTAATCCACAGCCCCAGAGGCACTTGTCCTGCTCCAGGGGACCTGGAAGGGAAGTTTCGGGAAGCAAGGAATGCTGCTAGCCTCTGTTCTGGAATGCTGGCCTCTGTGAACAGCTCCACTGAAGCAGCATTAATAGCATGCCCGTGGAGAAACAGGCGTAAAGAAGATGGCTGCTTTTCTTCAAAACCACAGTTGATGGTTGAGGCTGCTGGTGTTACTCAGTAGCCCTTATATGAAGCTCAAGTGGCAAATTGGTTCTCTAGGAAAAGTTTCTCAAGAGCATTCTTAAAATTTTAATAATGAGTATTCTACAGTCAGGATGGATTCAAAGACTGCTTCGCCTAAAATTATTTCATCTAGAGACCAGAACACTTAAAATTCTCTTTTCCCTTTGTTTTATTTTTTGTTTGTTTTATCTTCTTGTCTATGTCTCTTTTATGTTATCTCTTTTGACATTGTAAAGATTTTAAAAATTGTGTAAGTTACCTTTTAATTTAATTTTGTGTCTGTAATAAGTACTTATTAAATCTGTAGCATTTTATAAACAATGGGATTTTTTTTTTTTTTTTTTTTTGAGACGGAGTCTCGCTCTGTCGCCCAGGCTGGAGTGCAGTGGCACAATCTTGGCTCACTGCAAGCTGTGCCTCCCAGGTTCACGCCATTCTTCTGCCTCAGCCTCCCGAGTAGCTGGGACTACAGGCGCCCGCCACCACGCACGGCTAATTTTTTGTATTTTTAGTAGTGATGGGGTTTCACCGTGTTAGCCAGGATGGTCTCGATTTCCTGGCCTCATGATCCGCAACAATGGGACTATTTTTACATGTTGATAGCTTTTTTTCTATTCGTATCTTATTTTGAACACTTAAAGGATTTTTGAGAGTTTGTGTAAAGATACTTTCTTCAGATTAAACATATTGTGTGATAAGTCTGTCATTTTGCATTACTTTGTGAAGTAGATAGCTTAAAATATGAAATGCAGTAAAATCCATTACAATTTTTATTCATCTGCCTTATTTCTAAATACTTATTATCAAAATCTAATTCCCTACTCAACAGAAAGAAACATAGGTAATATGCAAATCTGGTGAATCACATAAAGTGCTTTAGGCATGTGGAGTGAAAAAGCAACAATATAGAGGCAAGAATAGCAGAAGGGATGGATTTGATGAATTCTACATAAAACTCAAAAGGTTTATGAGTTGGAAACATAAAATTCAAAGGTTTGGTCAGGTTGGTGAATGGTTCCAGAATTAGACTGAAGAGATACAGAGACACAAAATAATTCTATCATATTACCAGGTGCAGTGGCTCATGCCCTCTCAGCACTTTGAGAGGCCAAGGTGGGAGGATCACTTGAGATCAGGAGTTTAAGACTAGTCTGGGCAACACAGAGAGACCCTGTCTCTACCCGCCACCTCCCTGCAAAATTAGCCAAGTGTGGTGTCACGTGCCTATAGTCCTAGCTACTTGGGAGACCGAGGCAGGAGAATTGCTTGAGCCTCGGAGATCCAGGCTGCAGTGATCTATGATTGCATCACTACGCTCCAGCCTGGGCAGCAGTGAGTCACTGTCTCCTTAAAAAAAAAAAAAGAGACCCAGGCACAGTGGCTCACACCTATAACCCAGCACTTTGGGAGGCAGAGGCAGGCAGATCATCAGGTCAGGAGTTCAAGACCAGCCCAGCCAACATAGTGAAACCCCGTCTCTACTATAAATACAAAAATTAGCTGAGCACAGTGACGCATGCCTGTAATCCCAGCTACTCAGGAGGCTGAAGCAGGAGAATTGCTTGAACCCAGGAGGCAGAGATTGCAGTGAGCCGAGATCACATCACTGCACGCCAACCTGGGCAACAGAGCGAGACTCCATATCAAAAAAAAAAAAAAAGATAAAATTATATCATTCATAAGTTACTGCAAATTTGAGAAGTACTTAATAGAAATATAACATTAAGCTGCAAATGGATTGGAAAATCCTAAAATTGTTGCAGAATCCCCCAAAATTTGTTGCAAAATTCTAAAAAATGAATTGGTTCCAAAATCCTAAAAATGACAACAGGATGTCAGAAAAAGTATAGGACACTTGACAGGGACTCAAAAACACTGAACAAGGAGTTGCCTTTTAAGCAAATTGTTCATTACACCAATTGCCCTGCAATCTCAGGGGATAACAGCTAAGTGGAATGTGGTTTGCAAAAACTACTCACTGGTGTCTCTTTTTTTCTTCTCTCTTTGCTTTTATTTTAATTGTCTTCATGCATATGTATGTTTCCCTATAAGCTATTTAAAATCTTTTGGGGCAGTAGGTGGCCTAGAAATCATAAATTATACATTAAGTCATGTTCTCTCAACTCACACGCCCACTCTCCTGTTGCAGAGAACAGCCCATCTTCACCACCCGAGCGCATGTCTTCCAGATTGACCCCAACACCAAGAAGAACTGGATGCCTGCGAGCAAGCAGGCGGTCACCGTTTCCTACTTCTATGATGTCACAAGGAACAGCTATCGGATCATCAGTGTGGACGGAGCCAAGGTACCACCCCCTCAACTGATTTTAACACTCTCAGTGGCTTATTTTTCATCCAAGATTCACCCAGAATCCTGCCATCTTAACACAGAAGTTATTGTTATAATGTCTGTATAACATATTCTGTTCTTTTTTCATTTAAACTTATGGTAAATGGGAAAGAAAAAGATTTCTCTGTTACCACTGTCTTCATAACTAACATTTTAATGCCTGTATAATAATTTCACCGGCAGCCTATAATGCTCTTAATTTTCCCCCTGTGGTTGGATATTTAAGTGGCTTCCAATGTTTTGCTATTATGGATAATGAGCATCTTCATGTACCAAATATCCTCAATTGTTCATCACATACCATTGCTTTCTTTTGAATAGTCCTTAGGATAGATTCCTAGAAGTAATATTATAGGGCAAGATATTAACGCTTTATGGCTCTTGATGCATATTGTCAAGTTGTTTTCCAGAAGGGTTTGTTCTTCCAGCCTGTATGAGAGTGTCTGTTATTGCACCCTTGCGAGCATTGGGTATTCTATCTAGTCAGGTTTTGGTGTTATTAGGCATAGGAGTTGAACTTTATTAGGTGGTTTTGGAGTATTTCTTGAAATACATATATATTTTTGTTATTCTCTCTCCCATGATATTTTTGCCACATTATCATAGGAACAGAATTAAGAAGGGATACCAGCAGAAGTATCACCAAGTCTTTTTTTAAAAAATATAGACCTGCTGGTTTATGGTCTTTCTGTCTTCATCCTGCTGTACAGTTTTTACATGGATTATCTGCTGCCACCTGGAATTCAGTGTATCTAAAGCTGAATTCCCCTATTTGTCCTCTAAACCACCTCTCCATTTTTATTCCCCAATCATTCGGGCTAATAAAGCGAAACACAGAGTCCTTCCTCTTTAAGTTTGTCAAGTGAATCTGCCTTTGAAGTGTCACCCACTCGTGCCTGCTGTTTTAAAGACCATAATTCTTGTCCTATCACAGTCTCACCTGGACCCTTGCAGTAGCTGCCTCATCTCCCACCTGCGGTCTAGTCTGACTTCTGCCTCTAGATCAGCCTTCCTATGCAACAGGAAGCAGGGGAGTTGGGGGCTGAGCAATAGAACGGGCCCTGGATGGAGGCTTTTCTGTGCACTCCACAAGCAGAAGGCATGGGGAAGCTCTCCCAGGGAAGACATGAGAGCTTGCTGGTGCCTCCTGATCTCTTCAGGAGATCAGGGCACTTCAGCCCATGTTCTTTAAGTGACTGCTTTGTGCCCTTTCTCTGCACCTTGGCAACTGCAGATAAAGGTGGCTTGACCCTGGGATCCTCTTGCTCTCCCTTTCAGTTGCCACGGCCCTTCCTCCTCCTCAGGAATGGACCCCGGAAGTCCTCATTTTACAGCTGAGGTCTAAGGAGAGGTAATGACCTGACCTGGCCCAGGTTCACGCCTCTGGGGAGGCTTGGTAGACTGGAGCCTGTGCCCAGTTATTTGCACACCAGTTCCTGGTTTGTCGGGTTGGAGCAGGCTTCTCCTGGTTGGTAGAAGAGAGTTTCCTGACACATATCAGGCAGGTAGTGTGTTATCTCCCTCCACTTCAGAGATGAAGGCACTGGTCTTTCTGCCTAAGCAAGCAGAATGATAGTAGGATGATAGCAAATCCCAGGATCTGGTGAACAGTAAGGAAGTGTGCTAGTGCCTGGCACATAGTAGGTAGGCACCTCGTGTTTGATGGGGGAACATCTGAAAGGTGCCTTTATTTTTTTTCCTTCTGAGAGACATAGTGATGCCACAGTTGTAATTACCACTTCTCTGTGCTTCTGCGCTGCAATCGCCTGGACTCTTTCCAGGGTGTTCTGGCAGCGGTGGTGAATCAAGCTGACCTGCTTTCTTTTATCTACAGATTCTGTCAGTTCATCTGCCATCCTTCGATGGGCTTGTACCTTTGTCAGTTGAGTTATCCAAGGATATATTGGGCTTAAATATAGATAAAACGACTTTCTTAGAACAAGTGCTTTAGTCCTATTAGCTGAGCTTTTAGTAATTTGTCAAAGTGTCGGCCACTGTGTCGTTAAGGCTCTGCAGTTCCTGAAGACTGTGACAATGTGGTGGAGTCCGAGCCAAATATGACAGTTATGAGAAATCAGATGGGTGTGGGAGGGTGGGCTAAGCCCCTGGCTGCGGCACAGCACTAGTCTAGGCTCAGTGTGGGAGAGCCATCAAGCTATAGACTCACTTACAGGCTGGGAATCCAAAACCTAGGCCATGGGATGCCGCTGGAACTCAGAGCTAGTTGGAGGATCTTGGACTACCCATTCTGTGGTGCCCAGCCACCTGTTTTTGTGTGTGTGTGTGTGTGTGTATGTTTTGTTTTGTTTGTTTGTTTTTGTTTATTTGTTTGTTTTTGAGACAAGGTGTCACTCTGTCACCTGGGCTGGAGTGCAGTGGCACAATCTCAGCTCACTGCAGCCTCCACCCCCTGGGATCAAGCGATTCTCCCACCTCAGCCACCCAAGTAGGTGAGATTACAGGTGCCCACCACCATGCCTGGATAATTTATATATTTTTAGTAGAGATGGGTTTTGCCGTGTTGGCCAGGCTGGTCTGAAACTCCTGGCCTCAAGTGATCCATCCCTGGGCCTCCCGAAGTGCTGGGATTACAGGTGTGAGCCACCATGCCCTGCCGCCACCTGGTGTTCCTGCCTTAGTGCTGTGGCACCAGAGATCCATGACAGAGCCTCGTTCTGCAAAAGGAAGCATCCCATGAGGGAACAGAAGGCCCCAGGAAGTGGGGAGTAGGGATGGACCTCAGCTGTTTAATTACTATCTTTGGCACTCGGGGATTGGGGATGGGAGCACATATCGCATCTGGAGAACCTGACCACACTACACTGGAAAGTGGTCCCAATGTAAACTCAGCCCTGCTGGGCCCTCTCTCGACCTGGCAGGCAGCAACCTGTAAACCCAGCATCCCAGGTCTAGATCAGACCCTGTGCCTTCAGCTGCTCCACAAGTCGGGTGGGCATGGAGAGAAAACCCTAGAGTGGTAGCAACTGTTGCTACTGTCTGGTCCCCTGTGGCTTGCCCCTTCCCCACCCATTACTAAGGTCCTCATCTCCCTGAGCCCAGTCTCGATCCTGCCCAAATACTCCAGATGGATCGCCTGCTGTCTGCAGATTGGAATCAGGTGCAGTGTATCCAGCTGACTGCTGGGCATCTGTGCTGATGCCAGTGTCTTCTTATGGGCTCTTGTCTGTTGCCCTTGCCCACCCTTACCCCCATCTCTGTTCACTCAGCTTGGTTCCCCTTCTGTTCTTATTCCTGAGCATCTGTTCTGGTTCCATGTTCACTGGCTACCCAAGCCTGGAGCCCTGCTCCCTGCCCAGCCGCACGTCCCAGGCCTCATGCATGCTATGGAGCCTCAGGCAGACCACATAGGCATGGATGCTCCTGGGCTGGGGGAGTTTGGACACTTCCTGTTGTCCTCCTCATTGTGTTCTACCACACTGGGTCAGCCCACTTGGTTTTAGGCCTTTGATCCCAAATGTTGGTCTGAACCGTGATGACAGGTGGTCAGATGCGTTTAACTTTTGGGGCTGTGTCTTAGCTCATGGGCTGCACTGAAGGGGCGGCCTGCCCCTCCACACCTGTGGGCATTTCTCGTTAGGTGGAATGAGAGACTTGAAAAAAGAAATGAGACACAGAGACAAAAGTATAGAGAAAGAAAAAGTGGGCCCAGGGGACCGGTGCTCAGCATACAGAGGACCCACGCCGGCACCGGTCTCTGAGTTCCCTTAGTATTTATTGATAATTATCTTTACCATCTTAGAAAAAGGGAAGTAGCAGGATAATAGGATTATCGTAGGGAGAAGGTCAGCAGTAAGACATATGAATAAAGATCTCTGTGACATAAGTTTAAGGAAAAGTGCTGTGCCTTGATATGCATATGCAAACATCTCCATAAACCTTTTTAGTGCATAAAGAACAGCATTGCGCTAGCAAGTCCCACCTTTCGCCCTAAGGCGGTTTTCTCCTTTCTCAGTAAACAGAACATACAATCAGGTTTTACACCAAGATGTTCCATTGCCCAGGGACGGGCAGGAGACAGATGCTTTTCTCTATCTCAACTGCCAAAAGGCCTTCTTTCCTCTTATACTAGTCCTCCTCAGCACAGACCCTTCACGCGTGTCAGGCTGGGGGATGATTAGGTCTTTCCCTTCCCACGAGGCCATATTTCAGACTATCACATGGGGAGAAACCTTGGACAATACCTAGCTTTCCTAGGCAGAGGTTCCTGCGACCTTTGGCAGTGTACGTGTCCCTGGGTACTTGAGATTAAGAGAATGGTGATGATTTTTAACCAGCAAGCTGCCTTCAGGCACTTGTTTAACAAAGCACATCCTGCACAGCCCAAAATCATTTAAACCTTGAGTCACCACAGCACATGTCTCTTGCAAGGACAAGGTTGGGGGTAGGGTCACCGATTAACAGCATCTCAAATACAGAGCAAAATGGAGTCTCTTATGTCTACTTCTTTCTATATAGACACAGTAACAGTCTGATCTTTCTTTCTTTTCCCTACACTGCACCTCTGTGACCTTGGGCAGGTCTAGTGCCTGAGTCCTGCCTCTCTCTGTTGGCTGGGCCACATCAACTTTATTACTTTGAGCCTCTGAGTGGTACTTCTGGGCCATCTGTCCCTCTCAAAGCAGGAGGCTGTTGTGGGCTGGAAGGGGAAGCCTCCTCCACTCCTCCCCAGTGAAGGAGTGTATGTGTTTCTGTAAGAAGTGGCTGGTGTAGAATGGACTCAGAGGTCATTCTGAGCAAAGGCCACATAAGATTCAGCTTCTGTGTAAACTGTGGGCAGCCAGAGAGCACAGGCTCCTTGAGAAGGAAAGCTGTGGCCAGCAGCTTTAGCAGCTGTCATTCCATGCCAGGCATAGCCAGCTCGTCTGCCCTGTCCAAGCATGTGTCACGCTCCACCTGGGGAGGGATGTATGGACAGCCTCTCCTCCCTCTGGAAGC